GTGTCCTTCCACCTGCTTCCTGAGGAGACCACCCACCCCTTTATGGTCAAAACAAAGTGGCAAGTTGCTATAATAAAGAATTTAATATGGGTGTGTTCTTTGGGGGTATTTGTTTTATCATTTATATGTATTCAAAGGGATGTGAGGGGCTTACATTTCCATCTTTGTCAGCCTGATGGCCATTCAATAGCAATATATTTTCTTCCCCATAGGTGCAGGAAGATCAGTTTGACTGCTTCAAAACAAAAGCGCTATAGTGTGTTGTGTTTGAAAAGAGCTACAATCTCCAGATGACTCAGGGCTGACAGGGTCAGACATGCTTATCTAGCGATTGTGCTGCAGAGGGGAACAAAGCATGCTGGGCTGCAGATCCCCCACTTTAGGTCTTAAATCTCAGTTCCAGACACTAGAGGAAATGTCCAACTAAACGAAACAATCCGACCGTTCAAGAATCTACGGACACAGACTTGGCTTTACAATTATTTACTGTATTAAAAGAGCCCACCCCAATAAGGGTCCCCCTTCCTGGTTGCTTTACTCTTTAACAATGTTGGCATCATCTCAGAGCTGGCAGGGTAACTTGTTTGATGTTTGATCTCAGGTTCTGAACAGCCATTGTGGCAATCTTGGTGCCTTAAGTTTTTGGCCAAGGCGGAGTTGTCTGAAAGAAACGGGAGACGCTCTTCACAGCAGCCCCACAGACTTCTCTCAGGCTTTGTGAATAATTCGTGACACGCTCAACGTGGAAAGTACTCTTTAGACTCTCAGGAGCTTGACGGATACTCTAGGGGGTATTTTGAACCAGCACCTATTTTTGTCCAGAATTTGAGTCATGAAGAACCCCAGTCCTGCATTTTGGTACCTCCCGCCCAACAGGCTCCACAAGATGCCCTCCCGTGTAGGGTGAGCTTACATGCATTGAAAGGAATGTGCCCACAGTCTATTCCCTTCGCCTCCTATATTTTCTCTGGAAAGATCAGACTCCAGCTTCTACGAATTCCGTTTCTAGGAATACTCCGCACACGTGTGCAGCATCTCTTGCATTTCTGCATATGTCCACAAATAAAATCACCTTACTGACCCTCTATAGGGGGTCCAGGACCTCAGCCAAAGGGGCGATCCGTTTCTTAAAGAGGGGCGGGCCTGCGGAGGTGTCCTCTCAGGCCCAGGAGGCTGTGCGCTCAGTTTTTCAAGTTGTTCAGGACCCCACTGGGTGAAGTTGGGGTGAAAGTCTCCAGGCGTTTAGCCAGCCCTATGGAAGACAGGGACCTGCAT